ATCATAGCTTTTTATTCATTTATTTTACTTATTTAACTGTTTGAAAACCAACCCAACTTTTCTGCTTAAAACTGTTGGAACATTTACCACCACCACCCCCAGCACACTTGAAAAAATAAAAATAAAAATAAAAAAAATAAAATCTTCAAATGACTTCCAATTGGACGACAAAGACAATCAAGAGTGAAACGATTCGAACATCGCAGAGCAGCAAACGACTGTGTGGACACTATGGAGACAAAACACAGAGAGGGAGAAAAAAAAAAAAACCTCCTACAGAGAAAACTCATGGAGTAATGAGCCAAGAAAGAAAAGTTGATTATTTTCAACTTCTGACATTTTGAATCATTTTCTGGCCAAATAACACAATTTTACTGCTATGTGCAATGTTACTTGTCAAGCCCCGGGTTCCCTGGGTAAAATATTAATTATACAACAGAGAAATTATGTCAATAAGAAAAGCAGAGTCTTGTCGGGAAATCAAGGAACTCTGGCAGTAACATCTAAGGCAAAAAACCCGGCCCAAAAAAAAAAAGAAGAAAAAAAATCAAAAACGGCAACCCAGTTTATAAGGGGTCTCCAACCAGTGGACTGGGGACCAGTAGTGGGCCATGGATCACATGGTGTTGGACCAAACCAAAAGAAAAACAAAAGTTGCAAAATTGACATTAGTCTGCATGGTATTTTATTTTGAAAAACATTCACTTCCTTTTTTTCCTCTTTTCAGCAGTTTTTTCCTATAAAAACAACATCGCTGGAAAACTTTAACTTTGAAAAGACCTAATGATGAGACGGCAGATTTATAGATGTATATACATTATATATATATTTATATATGATTTAAATGATATATGACGCACTATTGTGTTTTGTTATTCCTGTGACCTCGCCTCACACACACACACACACACACACACACACAAGTACACTGGTCTGTGGAAAAACGCTGTGTGTACAATAGGGCAATGAAATATTAACGCAGAACAAACAGAGCCGTTACACAGTACCAGGGTTCCATTCCAATAATGACATCCGTCTTTCTTACAGTGTGAGGTCAGACTGCTGACGTCGTCCTCAGATCAGGTAAATAAATAACAGCAGTGAGAATGGGGGAGGGGGCGGGGGCCGGGGAGAGTACATCACCGACACCCTATTTATATCACACGGGCAAATTTAACCTTGACCTCATTTTCACAGTGACCACACTCGCTGTCCCTCCAGCCAGGAGTCAAACATTGTACTTTCACACCACGACATCATCTCATAACCCTGACTGCGGAGATTCAAATGCTGCTCTGCCTGCAGTAACGGCCGGTGAAATTCCTCATCGTAAGCTTCACAGACTGCGGGCTGGCACCGGCCAAGAGCAGGGGGAGGGAAAAAAGAACACCTGGATGAACATCATGCGTGCCGGTGAAGGCATCGCGGTGGAGTCATCCTGCCGTGTCTTATGTGACTTTGCCCAGACCCCAACTTTCAGAGGTGCATGAGAAGCCACAGACTCTACTTTTGGCCTACTGTGAGAGAAGACCTTAATCTGACTGCAAGTGTGTGTGTGTGTGTGTGCAGGTGTGGAGTGGGAACGAGGCAGACAAGCACACCAGGTGCCTGTGAGGTCAGGGGCTAGGTGGAGTGTTAGCGAGAACGACACCTGACAGCAGCTGCGAGGATGCACCCTGGCAGTTCTGTACATTCATGTCACTCCTCATAAAAGTCAGCACCTGCCGAGGAGCAGACAGTGCTGGTGACACTGGGTCCTCCCCACAGGATAGAAAACAGAGAGGATGAGAACACTTCCTTCCGCCTGTCCTTCCCTGTTTCTCCATCGCACCCTGAGCCAATAAATCAGGACAGATGTGGTGGAGGATCTGCTGAGTCGGGACCTGAAGGTGACGACGATGCCAACGGCAGTGGTGGAATTTTCCTACACGGAAAAAAAAAAACGACCTCATCTCTGTTCATGTGTTTGTGTAAATCCTAATGAATAAAGCTCGGGTGAGTGTGTGACGGTGTGTTGATCAGCAGTGACAGCTTTCCTTCCTTATGATTGGACTATGGAAAATCAATCCAGTAGGTGGCGCTAATAGAATTTGTATGATAAAACGCTGCCAGTGGGGAAAGGAAAAAAAAAAAGAATCAAGAAATGTGAAGGCTTCCGCACGGTTAGCTTAGTGACACTGGCCATTCTAAGTACTAAGTGACAGAATCAATTTTTAACCTCATATTTGAGCTAATTGTTGGAGGTGTACAGCTCAACAAAACAGCACTTTTCTCCTACGGTCAACACTGCTGCCCAAAATTTGTCTGGTCTACGTACAATTCATAATTTTACTTATTCACTAGTCTCCGATTTTAAACGTATCGCCCTCTGCTTGGGTAAAATAAAAAATTGATTCGGTTCCAGGATTACGTTTCTATTTAACAATAATGTTTCCCAGCTAAACCCAACTACATGGAGTACTGGATATTTTAACAGTACTATCGTAAATAGCAGATTATTTTACAATACAATAGAATCACACTTCACATGTCAAACTGTGAAGTCAGATGAACCTGAAGTCAAAATCAAGATGGCTGCTCATCATATTCACTGATTCATTTAAAAGGCAATAAATCAAACATTTACAATAATTAAAAACTAAAGACGTCATTCACAACCACAAGTCGCCAGTTTCCTACTGGGAGTGGGCCACAATTTAGGACAGAAAACCATGGATGGAGAGCTGGAGTTTCTATCATTCAGTGCACATACGGCCTGGACCAATGACACCTTGGCTTCTGTTGCCAGTTCTGGGCCACAGCGGGGCTACTGTACGTGTCAGCCAAAAGTGGTTTGAAAGACTGAACGGGTCAGATATGGGTCATTTAAGGTGACGACCAAATAACACAGTGGTGGAAATGACAAGCCCACCACCATAACGATACAGTTGAACTTAAATAGATTTTTTAACATTTTTCCACAATAAAATCACATTCATTTGTTTAAGTCACCAATAAAAACAGGTCTGAAACACAAACATATACATGCTGTATTTGTCCTTTTATTCCAGCAATACACAGAAACACTAATTTGGCCCAATTAATCATGATACGTCTGAGAGAACTGTCTTTTCAACCATATATTCTTGTTGTCTTTTCAAAATAAAGGCCCCGGTGCTACATCACTACCATCTACAATAGTGCTCTTCTGAGGATTTGTTTTCACAAGTGGACTTTTTGTGAGTCAAATAGTAGTAGTAGTAATAATAATAATAATAATAAACATCTGTACAATGTCTCTTAAATTAATCTAGTGTCAGATTACAAGTAAAGAGCAATCTGTATATTCTATCTGGTACTGCAGAGGTAGTGAGACGTCCACACGTCATTGAAGAGGTGGGGGGGGTGATGGGTCAGTGGGTCAGATTGAACGAGTTAAATACAAACACTGACAAAGTCCTAATGCAGATGGTATTGGGAGGTGATGCTGAATACGACGGTGGTGTCTTAAGAGTGTTGTAAGGACTGTCACTCTCTCTTTCCTGTTGCCTGAAGGCTTTCCCCAGGCCTGGTTGTAACAGGAGGTTACTGACAGTCTGTGTGTGTTCACCGCTGTGAGCTGCAGCTCACTCAGTCAGACATATCAGCTGGATTTGGTTCAATTTGTGCAGCATTGACATGTTATTCTGCACCTGGGGGATTTCCTACAATCTTCTCTCCTAGAGTCCAAAACAATCCAGATCCTCGTCCACTGTTTGGATTTGGAACAGTAAACCTCTCACTGATATCCAGTCTCTTACTTTTTTTTTCAGATTTTCAGAACCACTTGTAGTTAAGACATAGACGAAAAATATAATTTAATTCAAGCTGTGTTTGCAATCCTCAGCAGAACACTGCAGCCTTCTCTCCTTTCAAATCACCGTGGTGACATTACATAAAAGTTTCTCCAAAAATATCACCAAACACCGAATTATTTTTCAGAACACTTAAAGAAATAACTTTATTTAAGTTTATTTTAATGACTCACAATCTTTAACAATGCCGTTTGTGAATTGATTTTACTCAACAGAAGAATTTAGTGGTCACCCTGTACTTGATAAAAAGTCAAATGCTGCCATCTAGTGTTCACATGGTGGCACACTTTTAATGCAGTTGTTGGGTTTTTTTCTTTAAAAAAGTACGTGAATTGAGCACTAAGGTTAAGTCACACGATGATAATTTAGAGCTGGACGGATATCGAACCTACAGAGAAATATCCTCCATCGGGTGCATGGGATTTCCCTCATAATTGAGGTTGGGGGAGTCATGCTCACCCAAAATAAGCAACCTGCCTCATTTTACAAGGGTTTTATCGAATATCTGATCAGGTTCTTATGGCTCAGAACTACAGAAAATAAATACTATAAACATTTACCTCAACCTCTGACTGCGGATACTACAGTACTTTTATGTCAAAGGCAGTACAGATGTGAGCATTTTAGTTCCAGGACATGTACAGATGTGAGCATTTTAGTTCCAGGTCAACCAGGAAGAAACATTATACAAAATGGCGGCTCAATGATTAAAACTTTTAATCTAACTAATCAGAGTAGGTGTAGATTACTCACTGTTAATCACGATTGTGACGTTAACTTATCAGTTTAAACTTTAATTAAATAAATTAACTTTATTGATGCCACACTTCTGCTAACAGTTGTGGAAACACGGTGGACCAGGTGGCAAGTACATGGTGGGAATTGAACCCAGGACTACCTACTCGTTGCTTCCATAGAAGGTGTGCTAACTGCTTTTACTACAGAACCATGAAATTAACCGACAACAGAATCAATCACTAAACTGAAGTCCTAACTTGTGTTGGGTTTTGAGGTGGTATTTTCAGCTCAGAGTGCTTTCTGCTCGTGAGTTTAAA